AGCCATGACCGACAAAGACAGAGATACGAGTCATGTCCGTGATAACTACTCGCGGCTCTGAATTAATTCCAAACTGACACATACAAAGAATAATTTAGGTACTACTAGGTACTAGTAGACCTATTGATAGGCAAACATATGACAACATCAGCTGGTAGAAGTAACTTTGTGCCGATTCTGTCAGGAAGAATAGGAAACTGGAGTACCTATATTTGTACTGCGTTACTGCGAAGGTCTATCAAGATTGAGAAGAAACCCCAAATACTAATGAATTAATTATTACTAATACGCTCACCCATTAAATCCTACAATGATTCATGCAAATTAAAGAGAATGTACATGTTACATTCACAGTAGTCTAAAAGCGCTGATAAGAAACTTCTTTTTACTACGCAACGGTCTCTGCGGTCGCGGTACACAAAATTAAAATGGTTAACCAAAATTGATAAGAACCGGTGGTTTCAAAAAAAAAATTTTTTTTGTAGTTCCAGATTATAAATCAATTTCTTTATCTGTAAGTTACCTTGGAGCGCCACGGCACCATAATAGCCGTTCGCAGGCGCCACTAAAAGGCACTAATGCACCCAGGCAACGTAGGCAACCTGTAAAGCAGCTTTGCATTGTCGGAATTGCGCCAAAGTTGGCAAAACAATTCGTCAAACTCAAAAAGAAAATTGAAGCTAGATTACTTTTCAGCACATAGAAAAAAATAAGTTTTACCTTATAGTCTTTTTATTACTTTTTATATTTAATATTGTATTTTTTTGTTTAATTGTTTTCTTGTATTTTGAAAAACAACTCTAGCAAGTTTTTTGCAATTTCTTTTTGATAGGTTTAATCGAAATTGCCTTTTTTTCATATTAGATCATATTAAGTCTAATTTCTATATACACCATACCTGCTATTTATTATCCAAATATCTTTGATATTATTAAAAATATTCTATAATGACTAGAGAATTAGAGTGTGTTCTTTAATAAAGGGCAAAAACATAATAAATCATTAATTGTAATACCTGAAAAAATTTACTAAATATCTAAGAAAAAAACTTGAATTAATAAATTCAAGTTTTTTCGTTGATATTAATTCAAGTTACACTTTTTGAGCGTGGTGACCGATAAAGAAACAAATTTTTTTCTTTTATTGAATAAATGAGAAGTTAATATTGTTTAGAATATTTTTATTACCTTACAATACATGTAGGTTATTCAGGAATGTTTATCATTGAAACTATAGGTTTATGGTAACTGAAATAAGAAACATGTTTGAGACTTGATATCCTCTAAATATCTGGAAAATACCGCGTCAATGGTGGTCCCATATTTTGTTGTGGATTCTTGTGGATCATTATTCATTTTCAAATTCAATTTTTCCGAAATTGTGTCTAAAAGAGATAGAATCAGTTATGAGCAGTTAGCAGCTAGTCTACACGCATACGTCTAGTCGCACGCACACAAACACCGTGCCGAAGTCTGCCGAACTGAAACGACGTTAGACGATGCACGGCTTTCAACGCCGCACCGCTGTGCCGGTCGGAGTGGGGGGTGTTAGGTTTTTTTTCGTTACGGTTTCTTTTTTTTTTCTTGATTCGGTCACCGCGCTCAAAGCCCGCGTTAAAAGCTATGCAATAACTTAAAAATATAGATACTTTCAAAATGAACAAAAAAAAACAGCCGTGGCCACAGTTGATACTTTATAACAAATTGCGCTGACAATTGACAATGTCACTGACAATCGCAAATCTGCTTTACTGGTTGTCTAATTTACCTGTGCAATAGTGCCATTTAGTCAGCTTTTGTTGTTAAAATTCACTTGTTTAGGGGTGAATTATAGGGAGAGTATTATTATTATATACACATTACAACTGAACACGTTAGGAATGTAAATAGTATAGGCAATCATTTTTAATATACATCTAATGAACTTTTAATTGTCTTATGCAATTTTAAATACAAGCTACCTACGCTCGCGGCTTTTTAAATTGTCAAAGACTGAATGTCCATGACCCGCATATAGCCTACTCGTGTGAACTTACGTTATGTAAGGCCCTTTTAACAATACATCATGCAAATAGGAAATGAGATATTCCTCCTTTTGTATCATCATGTTCGCAACTATTACAAAATTATGTTTTTTAAACAAATGTGTGTCAGGAAAACAATGTGGAGGATGCATTTTAATTCACTTAAATTGAATTGTCTAAAATTTTAAATTATCAAGGTCACAACATCTATAAAATAATAATGTAATTGGAACAGCTTATGAATATAAATTGTGCTTACTATAATTTTTTTAGCTTAGAGGGCTGTTGAAGATTTATAAATATTCCTCTAAAATTATCATAGTTTTAAGTTGAAGTGTCCAAAAACGGTCCTGGACACCCGGACGTTAATTTTGTTTAACTTCATTATGTACTTGGGCCTTATGACCATTATACGAGGGCGGTTTGACGGAAGAGTGACTTTTCAGAGGTTGGCAACACTTTCGCCTGGTGATTTGACAAGGGCAATGAAATACAAAGTTACATAGATTGATCATCCATATTTTTCAAAATAAACATAAGCTTATGCCTTGAAGTAAAAATGTAAGCAATTATTTTTTTTTAACTATCTAAAGGCTGAAAATTGGTTATAAAACACATTTTTGCTAAACTAATTCAAATTAATAAATATTTGTCAGGCAATATGTCCGCTCGCAAACGACCAGCTTTGAGCAATCTATATAACTATATAAGTATAATTGACCCTGTTAATGACAACATGACACCAGGGTTGCCATATCTAAACTGTCAGTCCCCACTGGTAGCCATTTGGACAGGTCGTTGGAATACCTAATTGGTAGTTTCCGCCATGTTTCTGATGTCATCTGTCAACATTTTACAAAAATCTGACAGATAGATTAGTTTTAATACTCATATAAAGAAAACTGTTTTCGATGTTGGGTAAATATGGAGAAAAAAGAATTTCGAGTGTTAATTAAACATTATTGTTTACGTGGAAAAAGAATTAAAGAAACCGAGGAAAAGTTACGTAAATATTATCCTGAAAGTGCTCCGTCCAATGGAATGATTTGTAAGTGGTTCTCTGCTTTTAAAAGTGGCCATATGAACACGGATGATGCTCAACGTCCGGGACTGTTATTTACTGTAACTACTTGGTTAATAAAATCCATGCCCTTGTAAATATTTAAACTGAACGGGTATGCAATATTTTGCATAAAATTTTACATATGAAAAAGATATCTACAAGGTGGGTGCCGCGTTTGCTTAATGCTGATCAAAAGCTCGGTAGCATTAAAAATTCAAACGAATTCAGTCGATATGTCACAGTAGATGAAACATTATACCCCAGAAACAAAAATAAAGTCGAAACAATGGACTTCATCCGAGGAACGTGCTCCCAAGAAAGCAAAAACTGTATTTTCGGCCTATAAGATCATGGCCACAGTGTTTTGGGATTCCAAAGGTGTAATCTTCATTGATTATTTAGAAAAAGGAGAAACGATAACTGGCCAATATTATGTTGATTTGCTGACACGTTTTGATGCCGAACTTAAGAAAAAACGACCGCATTTGTTGAAGAAAAGAGTTTTGTTCCATCACGACAACGAGCCTGCCCATTCGTCCGCTATTGTTGCAGAAAAATTAGCCGAACAGCGTTACGATTTATTGCTTCATCCGCCATATTCACCTGATCTGGCTCCCTCTGATTACTTTCTGTTCCCAAACTTTAAAAAATGGCTTGGTGGAAAGCGATTTCAGACAAATGAAGAGGTGATGGAAGAGACAAACGCGTGTTTTGCGGAACTTCCGAAAATTTATTTTTATTATTATTATATTATTGAAAAAATTGGAAATTCGTTGGGCTAAATGTGTAGAGTTAAAAGGAGATTATGTTGAAACATAAAATATTTTTTTTTAAGTAAAGTAACTTTTTTATTGAAAAGTCACTCTTCCGTCAAACCGCCCTCGTATATTAAATTCCATTGATCGAGATTCAAAATAAACCGGTGCTTGTTGCAAACGGTTAACACCGATTCTATTGAAACATCACATTTACTTCACATCTCTGTTCTCAAGACAATAGTTTTTGAGATATATGTTTAGATGTCCATGATGTTTTAATATCATTCTGATGCTATTTATGTTTACTTTATTGGCAACTTTGCACCATACCTACCTCTTGACTGAACCACTTTAAAAGGGCTGCTAGAACCTCTTCTGCGTTAAGCTAATCAACTTCTTCTTATCCTGCAATATTGCAAGAGTCCTCCGATTTAAAGCGACGCAGAATCTGGTACATTTTCTTCGGACCACCCTGTATGAATGATTTATAATTAATGAGAAACTAAAAATATCTAAATTTAGTAGAATTTTACGTGCGATAACCAGTTTTTCTCGCTAAGATATTGATAACTTTTTAACATCTATTTGAGTAAATAAATAGTACTTTTTCTGGGTTTTTCAAGGATACATGATTATTAACTATTGAGAAACATTTTTTAATTTACCAGCAAAGCAGTTTTATAGCTTTGTGTATAAATACAGAATGTCCTATCTTATAAATCTTACATTTTATTAGTTTGCATTTCACGAAGCGAAGCTGGTATTAAATTAAAATTTCTTATCTAGATAGAAGTATTAACCATGCTTAGATAGGAAACGTTATAATGTCATACTGGCCATGGAAAATACTATTTAATAAAATGTATGTTATATTTATAATAATGTAAGTTTTTTGACCTAACCTAGTTATGAATAATTCTTATCTGAAGGTGAAATGATTACCGATTCACCTCGTACATGTTACTTTTTAATCTAATAATTCTTCATTATCAATCCCAATTTTTTGAACTTTGATCAAAATATTAACTCAAAATTGAATCATTTATGATTACTTATAGTAAGTAATTTTTTGGGGTTGATAAGAGGTATAAATATGTCTAATATATTGTTTCTCAATATGTTCAACAAATTAATATATTTTTTTTTTCTATTGCAGAGTCAGCAAAATGTGGAGAGAACTAATTCTGATAACCAGTGTTACCGGTATCTGCTTGGGTGCTAGCTTAGAACTGTGTCCTGAAGGTTCATCTTGTCACTCGGCAAATGAAAGGCTTGAAACGTCGTCTTTCGAATTCCTAAACAAATACACTCAAAAAGATTACAGATCAATAGGCAGCTTGATAATAACAAATGCTTCAATTAACAAGGTTGATCCGAAACTAAAGTATTTAAAAAATTTAGTTTACTTAGATCTGTCCTATAATAATGTTCAAATTTCTTCTATTCCTACGTTAAATAGTTTAAAAACTTTGATATTAAAAGCTAATAATTTAAAGAATATCAATATATCACTCTTACCACAGAACGTGGAACATCTAGATTTATCTGATAATTTGTTAAGCCAAATTCCAAGAGAATGGAGACTGTTGAAGAATTTAAAAACGCTGGATATGTACAAGAATCCCATAGACTGTGATTGTAATAATGTACTCAACTACGACAGATTAATTAAAAGTGGCATTATAGTACCAAAACCTTTAACGTGCCACTCGCCTTTGAAATATGCAGGAAAAGACGTTACTGCTGTTAATTGTTCCATATCAGACATTATGCTAGATGATGAGGCTGAAGAAGGATCTGGTGATATAGATATCTTTGATGGAGCTATCACTGAAACCAAAGCTAAATTAGCATTATTTAACGAAGAAGAAGAGGAAGATGACTCTTTAGACAAAAATACAATTGTTGATGATAAAGAGGACAACTTACTCGAAGCCATAACTACAGAAGCGGTTACCACAATAGAAGAAGAGGGTAGTGGTGATACTGAAGTGGAAGAAGAAGGTAGTGGTTACGGAGTACAACTTCCTGACTCAGGAGTACTAGGATGTATGATAAACTGTAGCACTCCATCTCCACTTGCTCCAGATTCCTCTGGTTCTCCCTTACCAAGTATTTTTGACCAATTCAATATTATCTTAGATGATTTGAATGTTTTTAAGGACCCAGTACAATCAACATCGAAAGCTCCTTCGATTGAGCCAAAAATATTTAAAGAAAACAGTGATCAACTTCAAGCAAGTAAAGACGTTGAGCTAATTGAAAATGGTACGAAGACGGGAGAATTGGAAAAAGCCACCATTGCACCTAAAAATTCAACCGCCGTATATGCTGTACTAGGCGTGGGTGTCTTCTTTGCTGTCATTTTTATAATTGCTTATGTTAAAAAACGTAATTCCAAGAGGAATCCTAAAAACAGACGTGAACTTCCTGGAGCTTTAGGGGAAGAAATGAAGCCATTAGGTAAACCACCTATAACCGCTTTGAATGAGAAACCTGTTAAAGATTCTTCGAATATATCTGAACAAATGCCTCTTATAAATGGTCAAAATGGCAAATCTAGCAATGATACCCCGAAATTAAAGTCTTTTACTCCACTAGCTCACCCGGAATTGCCGACTAAAATAGAAGTAGAAGATGATATTCCCCTCCAAAATGGACCACCATTCCCAAAACAAGAGGAAATAGAACTTCGTCCCAAGATGCAACCGGAACTACTGACTCCTCAGAGGGAGAGGGTTACAATAAAGGAATCTGAAATTCCTGATTCCATTCCTAGGACGCCATTGTTAGTTCATCGCCAAAAAAATAGTGAAGGTGAAATAGTTACTACGTTGGTACCCTGAAAAGACTAGTGATGTGAATACCTCAGTATTTATTACCTATTGAATACCTTTGTGATACAAATTAACTTATTTAGCGTCGTCGTTCCTACTTGAAAAACCACGCGAATATTGACGCTGTTTTTTTCGAAATTTTCCTGGTTTCTCGACTGTTGCAAACTTTATATACTTACTTTATATATATATATTTATATTTGTTGCCAAAGTAATTGAAATGTTAGTGCGAGGTATATTGTGGAAGGAATAATACGTGTGATTGTTAGTGTTTTTCACATTTGACACGAAAAGTGGACTGTATTATATTTTTTGAAAAACAGTTTCTTGTTAAGAACTGCGGTAAAAATTCCTGGATTTTTATATTAGTTTCCAAAAATTATTTTAGTCATGTGCTGTATACTATTTTAAACTTATAATTAAAGTACGTTGTATTTTATACGAACTAAAAGAACTCAGTCATAATTATTGTCAATTTTTTACAAAAATATTAATAATGCAATATTGAAATATTTTGGAAGGGAATATTTTATAAAGAGCCAAGAATGTTTTTTTCATAAAATGGCGTTAAGCGAAGTAGAAACTGTCATTGTAATATGACTGATGAACCAATCATAGAACTTGCTTAGATATCTGATTAAAATCATTACTGTAATTATATATACATATAAAAAAATAGATATGAATGAAGAAAGATCATTGACTTATTGTTAATTTTGGCACAGGTAGGTATGGTTTGCTATTTTTATCCGTATCTAATAACTAGATATATACTATTTTTGTTCATAGAACGTTATTATATTTTTCCAAAACGATTCTATGAATGATTTATTTGAAATACATAGCAGAAGTATTTTCTAGTATATAATATTATATAAGGTGTCCTTAAAAAGAAACACAGGATTTAATTTAAGAGAACATTTTATTTATGAATTATTTGAGAAAGTTTGACATTATTTTTTAAAGTACACACCTATAGGTCAATTTTAAATGAAACGATGTGGCTCTTTTTATAAAAGTAGGGCACAATCACTCTATTATTCTAAAATATCCGTTATTAACTGTAACTCTTGTAGCATAGGCTGTTCTTGTTGGACCCGAGAATTTTTATGCCTCACAGTTGTTCATTTGGCACACAATTCAAATCCTGCGTTTCTTTTGGGACACCTAATAAAATAATTCATTTTTTTATAACTATATTTAGACATTTTGTTAAACTAATGAAGTTATTATTTAGAGACTGTATGGTGTTAAAAAGGATTGCCTAATACATTTTTATAGGTTTGAATTTGAGTAGGACAATAACACCCCTTTCCAGGGTGACCCATAGGATATATGGTGGATTATGCCTAAATATTAGTTAACTGTAGTTAATGAAGGTTGAGTTGTTCATTCGAATGGATCCTGTTCTATTAATCCCAATTTTTTTCAGAAATTAGAGCTTTGCAAGCACGCTCTACAATTTAGCGACAGTGTAGAATTACAGGATATAAACAGAATGACTGGCTATAAACGCCTTCGAACGAGTTAGTCTTGGGATATCCCTCTAGAACATGAGTATTTTACCCTCTATCCAGTAGGAAATAATTCAATTCTTGAATGGTTCTAGTCCCTAGAACTCAGATTCGGTTCCTCTGTTAGCGAGAGTGTTAGCTGTTCTGTTTCCTTCCAATCCGCTGAGATTCGGCAGTTAGATCAAAATACCAGCTTTACATCAGCTACATTGAAGTACATGGCTTTAAGAGATACCTGAAAGTTAGAATGTTCTTATAGTTTGGTTTAAAAGAGGGGGTTAATCAACTTTGCTCCTCATAATTCTACAGCAAGCATATATGCTTGAAAAATTGAAGGAAAAGTGCCCAGATGGCCAAATCAACGTAGGTCTAATGATAAATTAATGGAAAATTTATTTCTTTTGCTTTTAAAAAGTACTAATGATCTTACAAAAAGGCAATTCTATTTATTTACACCTAAAAGATGTATAAAGCAATCCCATTTACCACCCTACATTCTCAAAATAATAATTTCAGAAAATCACTTGTTGTCAGCCTTTTTAGCAACCCTTTCTGTCACATACATAGTTTTAGCAAAACTAGGAACATGAATTTATATCTGAAGTCTTTTGTTTATTAGTTTTTTCGCGTGCAGTTGGCACTATGGGATTGCAAAAATTATATCCGCTATTCCGGTAAGGTTACACGATCGACCTTGATCGTTTTTTAATTGATCGCGCCGTTTTCTTCAATAAATGTTCGTTGGCTCATGGTTGCCCATAGTCATTCGACTGGAAAAAGTACTATAAAAGCATTGTCGACTATTCGAAATGTTTTCTTTTTATAGACTACGTGGAAGTTGTTAAACAAGCAACTTATTTTTATACAGTGAGAGGATTAAGTCCCCCTTGTCAAGTCGTTTATTAGTCGATTTTTAAACGTGTCCGACGATATCAGATATTGACATTCCTATGACGCGACCTCCATTTTTTTTAAATAGAATGGGGACCAAGTGACACCTCATTTGAAAAATTATAAACAGCTGATTTTAAAAATGTACTATAGGATCTTTATAATAAAAAATGATAATTAGATAATCAGTCCTTAAAACACAATTAATGTTGTTTTTAATAATGTACGATTTTCTGACCAATTTTACAGCTACTACTTTAGTTTACGTGCCTGGTCTATTTATTTTTTGTTAACAGCGATGTAAAAAAATAAAACGAATGCCAAAAACGTGTATTTATTAATTTCTGTATGAAGAGAAGAAAATTTGATATTCAGGTTCTGTTTTAGTGTTACTAAACCATTGCTGTAATACATTTTTGAACTTAGCTTTTCATAACCTTTCAAACGAGGTAAAAGTTGACATGCTTTACTATTTAAATAAATTGAGGGTGCGGCTGACAGCTGAAGAGGGTTGATAGGAATATCGAATGTTTGATATCTTCGTACGTGTCTTTAAACTATAGGAAACCAAGGTATAAGATTTAATCCTCTCATTGTACATTTTGTTATTAAATTACACTATCGAAACAATCATAAATACATTTTTATAAAATAAAGATTATTTATATATTATTAGTGCATAAATTCAACAGTCAGTATGGAGAATAAAAAACGAGGACTGGTTTCCTTTTTAATTTTGTTTTATTGTAAATGTTTTATTAAAAGCTTTTAATATTTAGTATTTTAAAAATATTTTTTCGACCTCGAGTTTTAGACGGATTTGTATGCCTGTGTGTCATGAAAATTCAAAGCCGGATAAAAAGACGCACCAAATGTCAAACTTAAGCTTTAATCCATCCTGCGATGACCATATTTATTTATTTATTTTGTCTTGTAATTTATAATATAGTTTCTGTAAATTTTAATTAAAATAGTAATTGTAACTATTATATTTCTAATAATAATGCTTTTCGAATTTGAGGCAGTGCTAGTTTTAAATATAGAAACTTAGTGATACTGGTACTGTTAATAAAATTAAACAATGAGAAGATAATTGTTCAATCTAAAATTCCTTTTGATAGACAAATTTAAATTTAGATGAACTAATATATTTATTTAGTTGTAATTGTGAGCTTTCGACTTTCATTGTCATATTTTAGTTGTTTCAAAACACTTTTCATCCGAAGTTGATCGAAGATAGAAATATTGTAGTCACTAAAACGAAAACAAGTTCGAAACGTATAATTATTTAGGTACAATTTTACTGCATTGTTTAGTAAACAAAAGTTACAGCTTGTCCAAAAGTTTTGAAAAAAATATATGTATATCCTCTTAAATTATCTAAAAAATAATACTGTTTTGAAATTTTTGGTTCATTTTATATAAATTAATGAATTTTAAAAAAGCTGAAATGTTAACAGAAATGTAACGTTGTGTAAAGCAGTTGTTGAAAAAACTTTAATGATATTTTCTAGATATTTTTATCCTGTTCGTTAATATTATTTTTTATAAGTGGTAAAAAATGTGATGAATTGTTTAACATTTCTTGCGCATTTTTTAGTGTTGTTTGAGCCTATGTAAAGTAAACTGATTTTATACTGCAAAAAAGATATAGAGGCAGCGTTCTATGGTTATGTTACAGTTAAAATCATATATTCCGTTTTGTTTTTATTGTATACATTTTTAGAGAAAATTAAAAGTCTTTTGAACAAACTTGCGTGGTTATTTCTACTCATACCATACCCATTCTATGTGTTCGACCTAGTCAAACCTGATTGTAATCTGCTCTGCAAAAGAGAAGAGTGGCATTTGATAGTCTCAATAAAAACTAATTTATGCTATACCAGACCACCGTGGATAACATTGCTGTTGTAATATTTGTTTAAGGTTCAATGGATAAATATGCCGATAAAAAAATGGAATACTGCATTAATAATTTAAAGATTTATTAAATCTTGTTCCTAGTTCTCGAGGTAAAATTCTTTATTAAATATTTACTGACGATATCTTTGAAGAGGTCATCTTCTAAATGTTTTAATCCTTTGGTGCAAGCTTTGGAAATATATTTTGGATTAATTCACACAAGTCCTCTAAAAAGTGGAAATGACGTAAAATTTTATCAATTTTGCAAGGCCAACTTTAAGAAATTGAATACATTCTATGAGCAAATTGACTGGTCCTTTTTAAATGAGTCTGCTGATTTAGACGAAATTTTTGAACTTTTTTATAAAGTCTTTTTAGATGTATAGATTAGTACGTTTCTAAAAAATAATTGAAAAATGAAAAATTCCCTAAATCAAAATGAAATTTATAGAAAATACAAAAAAAAAATCTTGCTACAGACTACGCTACTTAGGCTAACATTGGCAAAGAGGTTAAGTATCGTATTGACCTTTAGCTCACTTTTCTTAGTAATAAGGAGAATCTGATTCCGGAGAACATAAAACATCTTTGGTCTTTTATCAAAAACCTCAGAAGAGAGGAACATATGCCGAGTATTATAAAATTTTAAAATCATATATTCGACAATCCTTCGTCTATCGCGAAAGCATGTTATCAGAACTATGATTCTGTCAGCAATGAGGACAGAACACATCTTAACTTTTTTCTAATATGCCCTACCATGCTTTCACCGAGGAAGCTTGTGAGGAATTCCACCGATATTACTTAAAAATTGTCCTTTTTTAGCAAATCCTCTGCATACCATTTTCCAGCGGTTGTTTGGAAACTACCGTGGCATTTTATTAATCTCCACAATTTCGAAAGTTTTTGAATCCATACTGACAGATGAAATCTGTAACTATTATAAACACTACAGTATTCCCAATCAACATGGATTGTATAAAGACAGATCGACAGCTACAAATCTTGCAGTGTTCCAGGAATTTCACACGACCTGTATTGGAGGAAGTAGTGATGCCGCGAGACAAGACGAGACGAGAGAGTGGCCTGTCTCGTCTCGTAGGGCGAGAGAAAACTGTTTTCTTGTCTCGACGAGAAGGCGCTTCTCTCGCTCGAGAGAGCCTTTATCTCGTCTAGTCTCGTCTCGTTTCTCTCGTGATAAAACAATATCAAATTTAAATTTAAAAAAGACGAAACATGAAAAAACAGTAAAATTTGTTAGACAAAAACAAAGAATTTTTCAAGTAATTTGCGCATTAATACCCAAATTTGGCAATAAGAAACACTTATGTCTGTCGTCCGACTGACACAGTCGTTTTACAATTGAAGACATAAGTGGATAAAGGTGTCATGTTAAATTTTTTCAAAAAATGATTTTTATGGCCTAATATACTTTGAATATACTATATTTTTTGTTTGTGATAGTTCTGATTTCCAATTTCGATAAATAACGGCTATTCATCAGATAAGAAGGTGTCATAAGCCATAAATCATAATGCAATTTTGTAAAACTTTAAACTTGTTTTTCTCTAAATAATATTTTTGTGACATGACACCTTTATCCACTTATGTCTTCAATTGAAATTTGAAGTAATAAGTGGCCCAGATTAGGCGTTAACTAAAAACGAAAATACTTTGCCTTGTAAGTCAGTTGGGAGGGAGGAAGAGGTTAAATTTGAAGTTAGAATTTTTATAATGCAATCCTGCGATGTCAAATGAAAGCATTTTGTAGTATGTTTTCAAAATGCAAGAAGATAGAGACATAAAACTAAAACGATGTGAAATTACAGAAACATTGTGATATTTTTTTTATAGTGAGATACACTTTACTTGAGACGTAAATTAGAGAGCGTTACTATCTCTAAATTTTTTAATAGAAAGTAAAGTAATATAATACCTCATTTGAAAGATATTTTGATTATATTTACGTCCAAGTAAACAGTTTTTTTTTTTACAAAAATTACATTCTTGATAATCCTCGTGTGCCGTAATAATCCTAGAAATGTTAGATAATATTAGAAGATAATTTTTTAATAAGCTTGTTTTTGCCAAGAAGTTATGAAAAATTTAATACGTCAAGTGTATTTTAGTAAATACAAGAAGCGTTTCCTTAGTAATAAAAAATAATTGTTAATACGAGAGTTATCAAGAATGTAACTTATTAGTAAAGGCCCAGAACATGTCTGTATAAGAACAAAGTACCCAGCTACAAAAAATTGCCATTTGTGCAGTGTTAAATCCCTCTAACAGTAAAAAATTACTTAAATTTATAAAAGATACTGACATTTACTCTGTACTAGCCAAAATGTTAATTATCCATTGTATACTATTGTAAAAAATAGCATTTATAAGGTATTATACCTGTGGTAATCTTTGATGTTGAAGCGGTAAATAAAAAAAAGAATTTAACCTACTTTATGAATTTATTTAATGTAATTTCTGTAAAAACATAAAAACCTAAATCTGTTTACATGAACGTAAAAATATAGAAAATATC